ACAAATTCCTAGATATTTTCGGAAGATTCAATCTCGATATCCCAGATAAAATAAGAATATGCCTATTTTAACGATATTTCGAAAGAGATGATTTAATATTAAGAAATAATAATTAGCTATTTTTTCTCCTAAAATGATCCCGCAAAATAAATTCTTTTGATTTCATCAAATCGAAATTTCTATGATTATTCGATTCAAGCGCAGATATTAAGAAGAATTCTATATCTTTATTTTAAATTTCTCGAATATCGATGAGCAAATCATTCCGATACGTACTCCTAGCGTATCATTAGACGATCTCATGATATTCGATAATAATTTATATGATAAGAAAATAATCGATTAATAAGAAAAGCTCTATTAATATCAAGGAAGCAAAATTATAATTTTTTGAGTATATATCGAAGATAGAAATTCGAATCGAGAATCAAATCTTTCATATATCATTTATCATAAATACGAATCCGACGATATATCTAAATAAATATGAATCCAAATATGATCCCAAATCTAAATTCTAAATAGAAATATAAATACGAATCTGAATATGAACCAAATACGAATCATAACCGAGAATGAATCAAATGAAATTAGATCTAAATCAAATATCAATCAGATACGAATCAAATACGAATCCGACACGAATCCGATACGAACCGGGCACAAACCCAAGCGTGGACACGAATTAGGACGCAAATTCTGATACGAATCGGATAAGAAGCGGACAAGGACCATTCAAAATCAGATAGGCACCAGACACGAGCCCGATACGAACCGGACGCGCCCGTCGCGAACCCGACGCCAACGCGGAAGTTAATCCAGATACGAAACGAACCGGACACGAACCGCGAACCCGGATACGCCTGACACGAACCAGACAGGAACCCAACAAGAATAACGATTGATTTGCTTCTCATTTTCCTGGCGTTATCTCTGTATTCCTCTACGGACCTCATATAGGTATTTCTAGGTGCATCGATTTGAAATTTCTATATGCCAAAATATCAGGACGATAGGGTCTAGCAAGCGACTATCATAGTAGAAGATTTGCGTAGATATCATCCGTAGCACGGCGAATGCAAATTTTCTATGCCTCTTATCTCGCAATTTTTTTTCTCGATAAAGCCACTTTCGTATTACATAATCAGGCCCAGATCAGGCCCAATTGGACGATTCGAAGCGCGTCTGCGCCCCTTCTACGCCTGCCCCACTCCCTTCCTTATCTCCTCCCTCCTATTTCCGCCTTCTTCCAGTTATCGATGATTCTCAATTAATTCCTTAATTAGATTTGAACCAAGGTACAGGCGGGCAGGGGTGCATCCAGAATTACGGACGCAAGCAGCACGATACCGTTTTATTAGAGAAGAAAACTAATCGTTGTTTGAATATATTGGTCGAAGATACATATGTATACAAATATATATATATATATATATATACTCTTTTTGATGATTTTCATTCTGTAGCTTTGATTCTTAATCTAATAGAACGAATGATACTGGATCTTTTGACTCTTTGCCTCGCCCTCCACCAGTTCTGGCAAGATATGGCAAGATACATGCCCCTCAGCCAGGAGATGTCGTAGAAGGTATGGCCAACCCAGCTTGGATGCATAAGGATGCGTAGCAGCCAGTGTAGGCACGGCACCCGGACCAGGCTCTGCTTAAACCCGTTGCAAGCCTAGATTTGCTGATGGAGGCCCAGTCAGTGCTGAAGATGGGGAGGAAGCCACGGCAAAATGAGGGCTCCTGTCTGCACTGAAGCATAATGATGTGTCCGCCTGGCACTGTGCCACGAGGTGACGTTCGATGATGGGGCGGGATCCTGTTTTCAGTGCAGCAGTGATAGATGCCATGGGTTGATTCCTCGAACAAGGTGGTGTGAAGACCTGAAAGGTGGACGCCGCTAAGCTCATGGCATCAGAATCATTCAAGGGCTCTCTTCAACCAGGTGGGAAAGATCAGAACATGCGACTGACACCAGAGACAACAAATGCACCAGTTTTTATACCCTTGCCACCCCCGTGTGAGCGCCCGGTATCTGTGCACCTCATCTCAAGCAAAACCAACCGGGCTGACGCAGCTTGCGTGAACTTATAATCCTAAATAACAATTCCATGCCTTAGATCCTATAACCCCTAAACTCCCAAACCCTAAACCCCCTGCACGACAGCCGAGAAGGCGACCATCCTCCGGAAGGGCTTGGAACTTGCTCACCACGCCTTTTGGCAGCCTGGTTCCCAACTCTGGCTGCGGTTTCTTGCAGTTAGGCCGGAGTTCCCAAAAAACTCTCGAAAACGGAGTAGCTGGAAAGGTCTGGCAACTGCAAATTATCAAGCAATGGGCCTGGCTCCGACAAGGATCTGAGCATTGGGTGGTCCATGAGAAGCTAAGGCGTGTCTACGGGCTTACGGCTCCGGACTCCAAGGGCCACTGCTGCCAGCCGTCACGAGAACAGCACGAGACCGCTTCAAACTGCAGGAGTCTAGCCGCACGCACGGATTCCCGATTTTGGACTATGGCCTTTTGAGCCGTGTCTGGTGCTTGAGGTGGAAGGGCCAAGCGCAGCAAGTGCCTGGAGCGCAGCACCGTTCCCATATGTTGGGACATTTCTGCTGTAGGCTCGTCCTTTCTCATATTCTCAGTGCCGTTGATAGCAGTCCTTATCCACAATACGACATAAATACAGCAACACGATATTCTGCGCCGCTGCGTACTGGCGATGGGCGAGCCAGAAGGCTAGATGGCCGCGATGCAAGGCATAGGATCCCTGTCTGCAAGTAACCGCCGGAGCCCCCACGAGGACCCGATTGCTAGCAGCCAGAAGCTCCTTTGGCATCCAGTACCTGCTCAAGGTCCTCCTTCTGCCTTACCGCTGGTTAGTAGGGAATGGAAGAATGGTAGTAATAGTAGTTATAATTGCACCCCATTCCTCCATTCCCTACTAACCAACGGTGAGCTGCAGGGCCTGAAAGCCCGATCCTGCTGGCCGTTGGAACAGAACTGGGCATCAACACCCTGTCTGTGCACAACAGATTCCGCCGGGAAAGCTGCGCAACACGGCCGACAGCTCGGGAAAAGCTTCTGATTGTGGTGTCCGGGGCCC